TTGCTTACATTTTAGCAGGGATTGGGGTGTGCTTGTCACCTAGATGTTTTGGTCCCGTCCCCCCACCAGTTTTGCCCAAATGTAGCCTTTTGAGATAAAAATTGCTGGATGTGAGGATCAGAGAACTGTAGAGTTGGAAGGGACCACAAGGGTCATCTAGTTCAGCCCCTGCAATGCAGGAATCTTCTGTGCAAGGCGCTCTGGAGTACGGCCAGAAAGGTGCACAGCTCTAATGCCTTGGATCACCTGGCAAGAAAATGGGACCAAGGGGACTCCAGCTTAAAGAACCGTTAGCAGAGTATTTACTACTGTCCACAGGGTTGTGTTCATGTCAATGCACATACCTGACCATTAGAATTTCCACACAGCAAAGGTAACAGGCATGGAGCCCCAGAAGACATCGTATGTTCAAAAGGGCATCCCAACAGTTTGGAAAACACTGCCCCCTTTTATTGCAAGAACAGCCAAAAAACACACACAATTATCATGAATATGCAAAGTGAAGAATGTCTGTTTTGGATATTGCGTGACACAGGTAGCTGTTTATGATTTCATCCAAATTGGTTCTCTCCAGAAATCACAATTCTGGTCCTTGATGCTTAAAGAACAAAGACTGTTGTTTTTTCCACCCCTCAGCTTCAAACGTTTCCTTCTGTTCTTTCAGAACTCTTCAGAATTACTAACAACTTTTAATGCCTTTTAAGTTTTGCTATGGAACAAATCGGGGGGGGGGGGGGCGGGACGACAACGACGACGACTTTCAACAGACCACTCAAAGCATTCATGTTTCCTACCACAGCTTTTCTTGTTTGGCAACTGTCCTCATTGTGCTCAGAAGCATTCACCTGCTTATGGAATTTCAGCACCAAAAGTTGAAGCAAGAGGCAGGTGGAGGTGGGGAGAAATGAGACTGAGACCCAAAAATGCGATGAGAGGCAGAAATACACCTAGCCACAGAAAATAGAGTCAGTGCGCTCCTGGAAAGGCAATTCTTAATTGTGTGGCAAGCTTAATTGTCAAGCTTAATTGCAGGGGGGGGGAGAGTGAGAAAATGAATGAATGTGTGCAAATGAATGAATGAGTGTGCACGTGTGTGTTTATGAGCTTATATGTGGGTAGCCTTGCCCACCCCCACCCCCATTAGTCTGGAATATTAACTATGAGGGAAATGTGAGCCCCTACAGAAGGAAGAGGCCTCTGCCAAAGAAGATTGGCAAAATCAATTATTGAACTATGCAGGACAAATTAGTCAACCTGAAACCCAAGAAAGAAAGAGGACTTTGATTGTTTTTTTAAAAGGGGGCAAATATTTAATGCATATTTTTAAAGCTTTGTGTATAGATTTCTACATGAGTATGACTTTTAAAAGTCACTTAAATGGTGAAGGTTTTAAAATTGGATTGTTAAGAATATAAGGTTTTACAGGCATGCATGAACAAGCATAAAACAATGGAACCAAGAAGAGGAGTGGAGGGAAGTCAAGCAAAAAATTATGATTTAAAAATTTGTTTATGGTTTTTTTTCTTTATGCGTTGTTGTTGTTTTTTTGGAAAATTAATAAAATGTTATTAAAAAAAACCAACTATGAGGGAATGTGGCCCTTGAGCTGAAAGGTTTTCTCCTCCTGTCTTAAATAAGTAGTATCCTTCTGGCTTCAGCCAATGTGAAAGGTAGTTAGAGATCCAGTAATCTTGCAGCAGTTGCAATGGTGAGCTGATCATTTGCAACCCAGTCAAGGTAAAATTTTTGTATGGCCAATTGGTACAGATTTTTGGCTCCCATTGTGGATAATAATAACAATAATAATTATTTTTATTTTTATTTATACCCTGCCTTCCCTCGCCAAGGCCGGGCTCAGGGCGGCTAACAAGCAATAATAAAAACAAGTTGAATGAATACAACTTAAAAACAAGATTAAAATACAACATTAAAATATTGAAACATTAAAATGATGCAGCTGCCGCACTGAGACTGAAGCTGCGAAAGGGATAATATATAGCATTTGCTATCTTGAGTATATGAAGTTATTCTTTCAAACTTGCTTACTCCTCATTGTGGTATGGTAGGTATGGTAGATCACTGGGTAGGCCTTGACGATATATCAATATATTGCCCAGAGCCAGTATGAGGAGCAGATTGCAATGTTGGCTTCACTCAGCTGTATATCGCTGGTGAGACCACCACCTCTCCTAAGTCTCTCTGCTAGCAACACTTGCTGGAGGAAGTAAAGATTCCTGACTCCCTCCAACAGGCGCTGCTAGCAGAGGGACTCAGGAGCAGGCGGTTTCACCAGCAGTATACCGCTGAGTGAAACCGCCACCCCACTCTGCCCTCATATACTGTGCAGAGGGAGAAACAAGCCTCATCGGCGGGGCGCCAATAGGCTTATTCCTCCCTATGCATTTTTTTACTGCTCAGCTGAGGAGGGTGCAATTGCTACTCTGGCAAACTCTCTGGTTAGCACCATCCTTTCCCTCCTTTTGTTTGCTTTCGTTTTGTTTAGAGAGCACAGTGTGTGCGTGTAATTTCTTACTCCACTGCATTGTAGTCCTATTTGTGGGTTTTATCTGAAGCCTTGCAAGGGCTTAACACCACCAGGATTAAGGGGATAATGCATTAGTTTACAGGATACTGGGAAATGAGCTGCAAAGGAAGCTGAACCCCATGCAAGGTGCAAGCCTGTAGTACCCTGCCTCTGCAAAAACCAGACAGTAAGGAATAAGATTCCAGTGCTAAGATTGCAGGAGACTCCTGAGGCAGCTCATTTATTTTCTGCTTCAGCACTGGTAATTGCCTCCATCTCGTGTATACAGGAATTATGTTAATATTAAGGGAGGGTTTTTTTTAAGAATGGGGAAGTATTAGTGCATTCCTAAGGAATGCAATTGCAGAGTGCAGAGGATGCAGGTGGTGCTGTGGTCTAAACCACAGAGCCTAGGGCTTGCCGATCAGAAGGTCAGCGGTTCGAATCCCCACCACGGGGTGAGCTCCCGTTGCTCGGCCCTGCTCCTGCCAACCTGGCAGTTCGAAAGCACCCCAAAAAAGTGCAAGCAGATAAATAGGTACCGCTCCGGCGGGAAGGTAAACGGTGTTTCCATGCGCTGCTCTGGTTCGCCAGAAGCCACATGACATGGAAGCTGTCTGCGGACAAATGCCGGCTCTCTCGGCCTATAGAGTGAGATGAGCGCCGCAACCCCAGAGTCATCTGCGACTGGACCTAATGGTCAGGGGTACCTTTATCTTTACCTTTAAGGAACGCAACTGCAGAGTTCCTTCACTTCGCCGCCTTCTGTTCCGTCTGGGAGCTGTAACAGGAGAGCATCCCCTTACTTCTAGTGTCAAATAATACACATCTGATATATCGTAGCAGCTCTGGAAAGGGGATAGAAAAGGACTGTCCTGTAGCAGGAGCTGGGCTTGCAGCATCACTGCTTTTGGTGAAATCGTTAAGCCAGTGGAATATTCACTGTACAAGCAGTGGTTCCTTTTCAAAATCAGGAATACATTCCCAGAATTTGCCAGTGTGTGTTCTGAAGATACATCTCTTCTGCATTTGAAATGCAGTATTTTTAACAAGATACCACAGGGCCATATGATTAACATTTAACAAGCGCAGATCTTGGGTTGGTTTGAGTCTAAGAGGTGACAGCGTTTAAGGTGTGTACCAGTTTTTGCCATATGGCCTGTTACATCTTAAAGCTTAATTTAGCCATCTGCTACATAATGTTTACAAATACATTTTTGCTTGCTTGGGCTAGTACGGAGTTTTCCTCATGTTTTAGCTCCCCAGGGTGTCAACATATTGCGAACATTATTCCATCATCTGCTTCCAAACGATATCAAGAAATTGTAGCTGTGAAGTAGCTCTGTGTGGTAGAGGTTAAGTGGTGAGATCACCTTAACTGATATGGCAGTTAATACAAGCACCTCACAGCTTTAATCCTTGTCTTTAGTCTTTTATTTATGCCTGGCTATAGTATGGATATTGTGGTAGCTCTATTGAGAGAGGGCTTTATCTCCCCTTTTGACATAATGTAACATGTGGGAAACAATGTATGTTCAGCTGACTAAAATATGGAGTAGCAACATAACTACAGAGACTCCTAGTTTTCCTCTCAGTCAGCAGAAAATAACTCTTATGTTTGGTTACCAGAAGAGATGCATAAGATACAAAAATTGCACTAAACATGCTTGCTTGTTTTTTAAGTTAAAACATGTAAATAGGGTATCCGCATGGGTGGTTGTGTGGGGAAGGGGAAATTTGAGAAAACCACCTTCTCCCTCTTCTGTTCTCTAGCAGGAGCCTTTATGATACTGCAATCTCTTCTATTCTGGATACAGCCCAATTTTTTTCATGAGTATGCGCATTATCTCCTAATGATAGCTTTAATATACGTGCCCTGGGGGATTTCGGTTTTACGAAATCTCGCAATCTGGCGTCTATATAGCACATGACAAAACAGCTGACAAACCACAAAATCCTGCCCTGTTTAAAGGGAGGATGTACTAGGTCAACTCTGGTGTTCATTCTGAAGAATAACTGATATTCGTAACGTGGTTTCAGTCTAATATTGAAGATGTGGGCACAAATTATGGTACTCGTTTGAATGTTTACTCCCCCATCTGTTGACAGGCTTCTCCGAGATAAAGCAAATATATTTGGAAACGTGTGTGTGTGTGTGTGTGTGTGTGTTTTCTGGCATCGCTGAAGAATCTCCCTCACGTTTGAGAAAATCAGATTGTGCAGCAGCAACAGATGGCTGGATGAAGACAGAGAGTGTGACTAACTTGAGCCACTGCTGCCTTGTCATGTTTATTCTTACTTTGTAGTTTTTTAATAGTTAGTTTTGATTTGTTTAAGGTCTCCCCTCCCCCCAATTTGTTAGCTGCTTTCTTTTGCTTGCAAGGTAATCGGGATATAAATTAATTGCGTTTCTGTTTTTCGATGTCCCTTTTGGGGTGCTGTTTCCTCGCAAGTGGTTTTGGTGTTCCCCCTAATGTTCCCATATCAATTTATGTTGCAGCTGGATCCCGGGCTTCTTACACCAGCCAGCATAGCCACCTGGGCTCCGAGCTAAGGGCACTACAGTCTCCAGAGCATCACATAGATCCTATTTATGAAGACAGAGTATATCAGAAGCCCCCTATGAGGAGTCTCAGCCAGAGTCAAGGGGACCCTCTTCAACCAGCACATACAGGCACATATCGCACTAGCACAGGTAGGTGAAAACAACCTACATTCTCTTTCCACCCTCCCTCCCCTTCCTGTCTGGGTAGGTATGCAGCTTTAATTCATAAATTTCTGCGTTTTTGCTGTTCTGTTAGAAACACAGTGACTGAATCTGCGGTCAGAAATTTGTGCATGCTACTAAATAAATAACTAACGTCTTTATTCCCCACCCCACCCTTTCTCATAGTTTCTTTCTTGCACACTTACTTCTTCATTTTTGAGCTAAAATATCATATGACAGCGCTCAGAAATCATCCCTGGCTGCTGTACTTCCGTGTTCGCTCAGGGTGTGTGTTACTAAAAAAGGGACAGGGAGACTTTCTCCTATGATGAATAGGCCATTTACAACTGGGTAGCTTAATACAGGTGGGATAAATGTGGGAAGCTGCTGGCGTGGCAGCTGAAAAAGAGGCAAAGGCTGAACTTTGTTACCAATCTGGAGGTTGAAGGAGAATGTATCCAGAAACCAGAAGAAATTAGAAAGTCCTTCCAGAGATATTTTAAAAAACTGTTTACTCAAGGACCTCAAGTAGAGTCTGAGATAAATCAATTTATAAAAAGTTATGGCTTGCAGAAATTACAACAAGACAAACAAACAATCCTGAACCACAGAATAACACAACAGGAAATTGAAAGTGCCATTCAGCATATGCAACTAGGCAAATCCCCAGGCCCAGACGGACTTACTTCCAAATATTATAAGACACTGAAGGATTATTTGATTCAGCCGTTAATGGAGGTATGTAACCAAATTATGGAAGGGAAGGGAGCACCAGAATCGTGGAAAGAAGCTTTCATCACTTTGATACCTAAATTGGAATCTGAAAAGACTCAACTTAAGAACTACCGTCCCATCTCACTCCTAAACGTGGATTACAAAATCTTTGCTGATATTCTGGCAAGTAGATTTAAAAAAGTTCTAAATGAAGTAATTCATAAAGATCAGGCAGGCTTTCTCCCTGGTAGACATTTGTCTGACAACACCAGGAACATTATTGATGTTTTGGAGTTATTGCAGACAAATTTGAACACGAAAGCAGTTTTGATTTTCATAGATGCCGAGAAGGCCTTCGACAATATATCTTGGAGATTTATGAAGAAAAATTTGGAAGGGATGGGTGTGGGAAGGGCGTTCCAAAATGGGATTGAAGCAATATACTCAGAACAAAAGGCTAAACTGATAGTGAACAATGTGGTGACAGAGGAGTTCAAAATTGAAAAAGGGACACGACAGGGGTGCCCCCTATCGCCCTTGTTATTTATCTCTGTCCTGGAGGTGCTGTTGAACTTGATTAGGAGGGATCAGCTGGTGGAAGGAATACAGGTCGGAGGAAAACAATATAAACTGAAAGCCTTCGCAGATGATTTAGTTTTAACATTGCAGGAGCCAGAATCTAGCACAAAAAGAGTTCTAGAATTAATCTATGAGTTTGGTCGGGTGGCGGGATTCAAGTTAAATAAACAAAAAACTAAGGTCCTGGCAAAAAACTTGACTTCTTCAGAAATAGAGGGGTTTCAGAAGGAAATGGAATTAAATGTGGTTAAAAAAGTGAAGTACCTGGGGGTCAATTTGACCGGGAAAAATTTGAATTTGTTTAAAGATAATTATGAAAAATGTTGGTCTGAAATTAAAAAGGACTTAGAAATTTGGTCGAGATTGAAACTTTCCTTGTTGGGAAGAATTGCAGCTGTAAAGATGAATGTATTGCCTAAGATGTTGTTTTTGTTCCAAACCCTGCAGATCGTGGACAGAGTGGAATGTTTTGGAAAGTGGCAGAAGGACATTACGAAGTTTGTCTGGCAGGGCAAAAAGCCCCGGATAAAATTTAAAATTCTAACAGATGCAAAAGAAAGAGGGGGATTTGCCCTGCCGGACTTAAGGTTATATTACGAAGCTGCGTCCTTCTGCTGGTTGAAGGATTGGTTTTTACTAGAAAACACTGATGTCCTAGATCTGGAAGGGTTTAACAATGCGTTTGGGTGGCATGCATATTTGTGGTACGACAAGGTAAAGGTTCATAAATTGTTTAAAAACCATATTGTCAGGAAAGCCTTGTTCAATGTCTGGACTAAATATAAAGACTTACTTGAAAACAAGACTCCGAGGTGGCTATCACCAATGGAGGCTAAGGCCCCAAAAATGCTTAACATGGAGGGTGGCTGGGCAAAATATTGCGAGATAATAGAAAGAGTCGGAGACAATTGGAAGTTGAAGAGTTTAGAAAAATTAAAAGATAAGGTGCGAGACTGGCTACACTATGCCCAAATACAAGAAACTTTTAAAAAGGACAAAAAAATTGGCTTCCAGGTGGAGAAATCGAAATTAGAGACAGAACTACTTGAACCTAAGACGAAAGTGCTTTCAGGAATGTATAACTTGTTGCTTAAATGGAATACTCAAGACGAGACTGTCAAATCAGCTATGATAAAATGGGCCCAAGATATTGGGTACAACATTATGTTTGAAGACTGGGAAAGGTTATGGACCACCGGTATGAAATTCACGGCTTGTACTGCCCTGAAAGAAAACATTATGAAAATGATATACAGGTGGTACATGACCCCAGTCAAACTTGCAAAGATATATCATTTGTCTGATAATAAATGTTGGAAATGTAAGGAAGCTGAAGGAACTTTTTTTCACCTCTGGTGGACATGCCCGAAGGTGAAGGCTTTTTGGGAAATGATTTATAATGAGTTGAAAAAGGTATTTAAGTATACCTTTTGCAAGAAACCAGAAGCCTTCCTCCTGGGCATCGTGGGCCAGAGAGTGTTAAAAAAGGACAGAACTTTTTTTCTCTATGCAACTACTGCAGCAAGAATCCTTATAGCTAAATACTGGAAGGCACAGGAGTTACCCACGCTGGAAGAGTGGCATACGCAACTGATGGACTATATGGAATTGGCCGAGATGACGGGCAGAATCCGGGACCTGGGAGAAGAGGCAGTGGAAGAGGACTGGAAAAAATTTAAGGACTATCTACAAAAGCATTATAAGTTATATGAATGTTGAGAATTTGCTAAGTTATTGGAAAAACTTGCTTCAGTATGGAGATTTGAAAATGGGGGAAATTAAGTTATGATTGCGAAAAGTTCAAAATTTAGAGCAATGTCCCTAATATTAGGGATGGAGGATAGAAAGAAGTTACTCAACAATAAGTACTCTAAATCTAAAATATAATCAGAGAAAGTACAAAAACGCATGAAACAAGGTATTAATTTGCTGTAATTTTATTTTTTATAAAGAATGCAGGGCGCTGGGGATGTGGGGAAGTCCAGTGGATCATGAAAAATGTTTGAAACTTTCTTTTTTCTATTTTTCTTTTTCTGTTCTGTAAAACCGCTTTTGTTGAGTTACTGACGATGTATTTGACCCTGGAAAAAAGCAATAAAAAATATTTTAAAAAAAAAAAATAATACAGGTGGGATGGCGAAGGGGGAATTAATCAGACATGGAACATACGTTCCATTCTCACTTCATATGTGTATGCAACATTCTCATTCATTCATTAATACTATATGTCACTCCATGTTAAAGTAGCAGTGTCTGTGGCTGCATTTCAACCAATCAGCTCCATTGATTCATCTGTAATGGTAAAAGCGCATGACCATACATCCAAATGTGTTGGTGTACAATTTTTAGTTGTGGGGAGGTTGTTTCAGCTGTGTGAAATAGCTCTATATTTGGAAACCTGTGAACAGCAACCAAGTCAGTACTGGCAATTAATTTATGAAGGAACCCGCACCCAGCGTGTTCAGAACCAAAATACCCTTCAGACAGACACATCGAGAACAAACAGTAGACATGACTGCAGCGTTATTCATATTTATGGGATGGTTTATTTGCATTGTTGATCTTGTACAGAGAAGGAGTTAGAATTTCCTCAAATCAAAAAAAGACCATTTGCATTGCCAGAAGACTGGTTTGATTTTGCTTTAAGTCTTTTTATAGTCACACTTTTGAATTGTGGAGATTGCCTGCTTTCTTTTGGGGCTAATTTAATTTTGCATTCTCTGTGCACCCAGATATGTCAGAGTCGACCAAATATGAAGGAACTAGCTGCTTAATTTGATATAAACAAGAGGGTCAGTGAAGAAGCACTCAGGTGCTGGTAGTAATGACTGCCAACAGAGTATCAGAAAAGAACAAGACTTGGAAAGGAGTTGCGCTTATGGCCATGACGAGCAAATATGCTACAACAATAATTAGATTGCAAAGTGAGTAAGTAGTTAACGAGAGGAGTAAGGATGGCCTTGTCTTTGCAGGCCTAAAGTCGACTTATAATCTGTAGATCTGCATTGGGTGGTGTCCTTTATGCAGAAACATTTTTTTAAAAAGGAACTGTTTGCCTAAAATTGGCCAATGTTGCATTCATTTTTCAATTTATTACTGTGATTTTTGGAAGTGGGGGAGGTTATAGGCTGTGGTACAGATGCAAGATGTTCCTCTGCTATCGAATCAAATCCCTTTATGGGAAATTTGCCATCCACATTTTCAATTCTGCGCTGTAGAAACTGTTAATACCAAATTAAGCAGCAGTCCTGACTTCACTTCTGCCAATGAGCCAACGAACGCAACGTATACTTGTTTTTGTTAAACTGCCTGAGCAACTGCTTTAAGCATATCCACAAACACAGATCACTTATGTTCACTAAAGGCAGCAGGGAAAGTTATAGAGGGAGGGAGGGAGGGAGGGAGGGAGGGAGGGAGGGAGGGAGGGAGGGAGAGAAGTGAAGGATCTGTTCTACAGTGGTACACACTTCTAGTCAAGATAGCTGTGTCCTGTATGTAGCTTGTGCTGTGAATGATGCTGTGTCAAAAATTAGCCCTTGATTGTGCTCTGCTGACATCAGTTATGCACAGCCTGTTCGTATTGGCCCTTCCTTTGCAAAAGCCCTTATCAAAGGAAGCAGGAAAAGGCTGCTGAGGAGGCTGTTTAATCATTTGTTTCTGGAGTTGTCTGTCTCTTCTTGTTCTCCATGGTTCCT